GAAAAGTCCCTCTCCATCCTTCCTGTAGGCCCCCTTCAGGTGCTGAAAGGCTGCTATAAGGTCACCCCGGAGCCTTCTCTTCTCCAGACTGAACAGCCCCAACTCCCTCAGCCTGTCCTCATAGGAGAGATACTCCAGCCCTCTGATCATCTTCGTGTCCCTCCTCTGGACCTGCTCCAACACATCCATGTCCTTCTTATGTTGGGGGCTCCAGAGCTGGATGCAGTACTCCAGGTGGGGTCTCACGAGAGCGGAGTAAAGGGGCAGAATCCCCTCCCTCGACCTGCTGGCCACGCTTCTCTTGATGCAGCCCAGGATACGGTTGGCTTTCTGGGCTGCAAGCGCACATTGCTGGCTCATGTTGAGCTTCTCATCCACCAGTACCCCCAAGTCCTTCTCCTCAGGGATGCGAGTGTGTTTGCAGAAAGTGTGCCTGAGACTGTACTCTGGTGGTGCTGAAAGCTTCCAGGATAGTTTGAGCAGTATCCTCCTCCTTTTGGTGAAGGCTGTCATTGTGGCATCAGGTGAAAATCGGTATCCCTCTCATCTCCCCTCCTTACTGTGAGCAGTGCTTGTATGGCCTCATGAAGCAGTCGGGAGCATCAGTAGACCTTTGGAACTGCACAATGCTGTAGGTTTGCTTTGCAGATGCATGTCCATTCCTCACTATTAAATTTTGTCTGCAGGCATAGTCGTAACCTACAGTGAAAGTGAATTATTGAGGATGTTTTGAATTTTTTACAAGTATTTTTTCTTTTGGTGTAAATTGGAGCACTGCAGTCTTCCCTGTGTTCTTATCAGTTGTGTGGATACTGGACACTTTGAGGAATTTAGTTTCTGTCAGAAATGACTGATAACTTCCAGTATAATTTCAGTTTTGTTTAGTCAGATAATTGTCTTACAAAATTAGTAACTGAGGAGTGTTTCCAAGCGATACAACTCTGATGGCAGAATTAGATCTGCAGCATACATACTTCCTCACCCCGAAATTTGTTTTAGAATAGCTTTTGGCTGACTTCAGTGTAGCATTACAAAGAGAAGCTATTGGTGAGAGAAATTATGGATCATTTTAGTCTGGTATCCAAGGTCACTTTCCAGCTCTTCCACATACATTGTGTGTCACCTTGAGCAGGCAGTTGATTGGGGGATAAAAATACAGCCCTAATAATGAGTGTGTTGGTGGGATTCACTGTTGAACTGTCAGTGTTTATATACAGTCCTTATGGGAAACTCAGATGGATGGAACATTAACAGCTTATTATTTTTTAAGTCTGTCTGACATTGTAACAAGACTGACAGTAAACTGAATCCCTTTTTAGAAGCTCTGATACTGAAATTACCATCTTATAATGCAACAATAGACTAGTCCTATGGCACGCGAGCGTTTCTGACAGTGCTCGAGAGGAGCAGTAGGTCTTCTTGGTTTTGGTCAGAACTGTGTGTTTGTATGTTTGGGAGCTGGAGATTATATTTCTACTAGCCTGCGGATGGAGGCACATGATTGATTCAAATCAACAATAAATTCTTTTGAATCTTGAGCTTATAGAATTAGCCACATTAAACCCGTTATGAAGAAACAGTTCACTGTGTGAGGTAGGATGTGATTGCAGCTTTTGTAACAATCCATTGAGTGTGGTGGTAATGCTACAGTTTCTTTCAGCGTTGCTGCATCTACGTTTGTGCTTTAGCATTAGAAGCAATGCTGAGTTTCACGCGAGTGAAGACTTGATCTGGAAGACCCTTAGCCATCTGTTTCTTTTGTACTTAGGACATCAATGGTCTTGTCCTTCAGAGCGTAGTTATTCTTTTCTTATGAGAAAATGGCATCCTTTGGTAATGAAGATGCATTTCAAGATTCAGCAGCCGTCTCCCTAAACGATTTAGAAAGCCTGCACAACTTCCGCAGCCGTTCTGCAAGTTTCAGCAGCACAGGGTCCAGTGGCCGTTTGCAGCTCCGTCAGCGAGTAGCCCAGCTCATGGCTTGTGTAGAGGACATCAGCTCGGATGATGAAATTCATGAAGAAGTGTCTCGCACTCTAGATGAAGCTTTCCTTATCTGGGGGAAAAAGCTGAAGGATAAGTGGCAAGAATTCAGGTTTTGTTCCCTCTGGTTGATTGGTTTTGTGTTGTTGTTTTTTCTAATGCTAGCTAATAAATAGATTTCTGATTGATGAAAAGTGACAGAAAATGTTTGTTTTCTGTAGACAGAAATTCTGAGGGGAAATTAGATGCTCTTAAGGTTGGTTACTTGTTCATGTTTCAATTTTAGCATTGGTTTTGTGTGATTTTTTTTTTGTTTGTAGACTACACTTAGTTACCTGGAATGTGGGCACAGCTTCTCCACCTCCTGATGTCACTAGTTTACTGCAGCTCGATTCACTGGGCCCAACTATGGATATGTATGTTATAGGGTAAGTATCTATTAAACAACTTGCTTTGTGAGTTCGTTGAACAACTGTGGAGTCTCAACAGCTTACTGTTTATTTTGGGAGGACTGTGCAATGCTCACTGCCTAGGAGATGGTTTAACATTATTGCTAACAGAAGATGAAGATTAGAGTTAGTGACTTGGAACAGAGATGATTTATAGAAGGAGAATCTTCTCTCCTTTCTGCTGTTGTTTTGTGACAAAATAGAGAATATCTTTTTTCTAAACACATAAAAACTTTCTGGCTGCTGTTTTCTTTGTTGACACGTAGAAGTAGAAGCATATTCATTCTGATGTGAAAGTTATCAAAAATTCATCATGTTTTAAAGAAATTAGTGTAAGCTTATTAGGCACAATCTGCCATCATGTTTTCCAGACTTTCTTGAAATCTTAAAGACCTGACAGTCAGGTTATTTGTCATAACATATCTTGGGTCTAACATCATCTCTTAAGCTCTGTCTTCAGGTCTATGTCAGCTCCTTCGATTTTGCTTTTCTCCGTGTTAGATGTGTTAGACCAGTGGACTGGTTAAACTGCTTGTAAATGAGAAACTGAACAGTGAGAATTTTCAGACTTACACTGAGAGGTCTGTTAGGATGTTGTGGTCTGTGTTCTGAAAAGGTTGTATGAATTCTGTCAGAACCAAGTGATACACTGTGAATAATCTTGATGTATTCAGCTTACAGGAGGTGAACTCAAGAATCACGAATTTTCTGTCTGACATGGCATTTGATGATCCATGGAGCATTTTCTTCATGACTGTATTGTCTCCACTGGGATATATCAAGGTAATTGTTTACATCTCGTAAGTATCACAGCAGTGAAGGAAAATGTCTTTCCCAGCTCCATTTAGATTTTTTTTTCCCCCGCGAACTCTCCATAAAAGAGAAGTCAGGGGGGGTTTTTTTGCAGGTGTCTGTCGCTTCCATAGGTACACGTATGTTACAAGTGATTCTTCATCACACTTGTGTTTCCCTGGTTTGTTGATAAAGACAATTTTAATTTTTCTCTATTAATAATAATGTCCTTAATTTTAGCAATAAAAATTGGACATGTGGTTTTCCATTTCTCATGTGGAATAATGGGGCAGTTTTGATGGTTTTGCAACTCAGATGACAAACAGCAAGAAGTTGTTCAGATGTGCTGGCGTTGGCCTGTGGAAGTGCTGCAGAGCCATGTGATGAATAGAAAAATACTCCTGTTGTAATAAGAATACGTTTGCAAGGAACAGAGTAATGAAGGTTATTTAAAATGAAATGTGATGTGAACTTCTACTCAACAGCATATTTCTTGTGGCCACAATATCTCTATCTCTCTCTTGTTTGTAGAAAATGGTTTTGCTCTGGGCAATATTGGGGAAATGTATTGTGATGCTTCTAATGTAGTCTGCTTAAGTACCTGCTTTCACTATAAATATCCCAAGCAATGGCAGTGATTTTCGTTAAGATTGGTAAGGTTTCTTTTTCTTTTTTTTTTTTTTAACAACTTGTTTGCAGGTGAAAATAAATTGCATATATGTAAAACAGGATTTTAGTGGGTATATATATTTTTCTGAGGACTTTATTTTTAATTGAAGACCTAGAGCATTGTATGGTAGTTTAAATGACAAGATTTTTGGTAGTATTTGGGGCATAAGATCAGCTAAAGTACTAGCTATTTTAATGATGCAAACAATAAACATAGGATATCCTGAATTTCTCTGATAAAGAGATATTAGAAGCGTTTTGAATGCTGCATTGCTTTTCTAAATCAAGCATTATTTCAGGGTGATTTTGCTGAGAGGATTGTATTATCTGCATGCTAATCAGACTCAGTAGTTGTGCCATTCTTTTAACTAATTAAACAGAACAAAGGACCCATTGGGAATTATAAAAAGGAAAAAAACCCACCATTGTTCATTCTAGTGAAAGTAATTGCTGATAAACCTTTAAAATCTGGCTGTGGGCTGACATTCAGGCCCGGTGTATAGACAGTTAGAAAGAATTCTTAGTGGTATGCATGGTTTATTTTGGATTCTCATTTATAAATGTGCCACTTTGGACACAGTAATGAATGGATGCTGCCTGATAATAGGAGGGGACTGTCAGGTCAGGTCAAAACCAAAATAGGCACTGAGGAGAGCTTGTGCTAGGACTTACCTGGGAAGCTGAGGAGGAGAGGAAAGTTGCCCCTTCTTTGCTGACCTATGGCAAAGTTGGCTGTACAGGGGCAGTTGTCATACCTAGGGCCTTCTGTCCCTTCAGTAACATTTTCAGACTGTTAGATTGGTTGGGGTCAGTCAGTTCTTTCACCAGAAGCAGAATTGCATCCCCTCTATGAAAGGTCTTTGCTGGATTTGGCAGTACGTGTTGGTGGGACTAATGCTAGTTCCAGCAGAGGAGGGATCCATTGTGTTTTGATGTTCAAGACCTACAGAGAGAAGAAATTTCATACAGATCTTGAAAAATGTCTGGTACTGGCCCACAGCACAATGAAGTGTAGCAAATAGTAAAGAGACTGAAAGATCTTGGTATCTCATGAATGTAGTTATGGAAAGGAGAATACTGGTTACACCAAATGTTTGATCAGATACAAATATTTATGTGTTATCTAGTAATTGCTATCCATCATTTCAATATACTGTTTAGTATTTTATTGTGTTCAAAGAGAATGAAAACATTAACATATGTTCTGAAATCACTTAATTGTGTACATGTGGAGGCAAAGAAGGGAGGAATTCTGTTTTAAAGTTTGGACTGAGTTTGTGTACTTCTCCAGCAGTTGTGTAGTCAGTGTTATCAGTTTTTATTCTAATGTAGTCTTGCTCCAAGTTCATCGAGCGTAAAATTGAACTACAATTGATATATTTCAATGTCTGTATTTTAAATTGAATCATTATCATTAAAACAAACACTTAAAATGAGTTTTGTGTCTCATGTCAGGAACATTGTGAAGTTCATATATTTTCAATGAAGAACATCTTTGTTAGACTGTTTCCACACCCACAAAAAAAACCTCAGACCACAAAAAAAAACCAGTATCTTAAAACTTAAATAGTGTATTATGTGCTCCCTAAGCATCTTTGCTTTGGAGGTGTTTGGTAAATCAGTTTTTACAGGCATTGGAGGCAAGAGTTACTGCTATTTGCAGCTCATTATTTTTGCAAATGCCTAGAATTAATTGCTGTGCTTTTTAGGCATTTTAATGGCATTTAGAATGATTAGTTATCTGCTGAAGGATGTTTCAGTTTGAAAATCTTGCTCCTGTTGGAGGACTTGTAGGTGTGCATTATTAAGATTATAGACAAAAAATCAAGGATTTGTTTCTTCATGAACAGGATGCTTAAAGGTAGAAACAAGAGGCTGGTGAGGCAGAAGAAAGGTACTAAAAGATGTTTGGGCAAATACACGTTTTGAGGTCAACTTCAGATTTGTAATATGATGTTACAACTAATGTTAATTAGTTGAGAGATTCAATTTTTTAGAAGCAAGTCTACCGTAAGAATGTGTTCTTTACAGTACTGACATGCATCTGCATTTACTGTGTCACAGTATTGAAGCCAGGCTTGGCGAGGGAATTGCATGGCGTCTGCTATGGCATTCTTCACCTAAAAGCTCATGTGAAGTAGACCCAAAGAATTCTAGATACCTCCCTGGAAATGACCATTCCTTTTTTTGTATCTCTTCTAGCTCTCCTCCGTCCGCATGCAGGGATTACTACTTCTGATCTTTGTGAAGCATGTCTACCTTCCCTTCATACGGGACATTCACACCCACTACACACGCACAGGCCTGTATGGCTACTGGGTAAGAAAGTGTCTGAGACTTGGTTGCCTTGGTTACTTCTGGTGGTGTGTGCCTCTAAATGATTTCATGGTGGGAGAGAGGGTATATGGTTTACTTAAAAATGAATAAACTGACAAGCAGCAAGACTGACTTACTTGCACCTTGTATGCAAGTGTGCAGCACGAACCATAATTTTACCAGTCTATTAGCTGATGCACAACAACTTGTGTAGGAAGAAATTGTATTCATTTAAATCCAAACAGAAAGATTTAAAAATTTATAGGTGGTGTTAATAGTTACGTTTGCAGGTGTTGACTATGGTTTCAGAGAACATTATTCATCTTCCATACCAGGGAAACAAAGGAGGAGTCACCATTCGCATGTCCCTCTATGGTCATACAGTTTGTTTCATGAACTGCCACTTGCCAGCTCACATGGAGAATACAGAGCAGCGATTGGATGACTTTGAGAAAATTCTGGAAATGCAGTTTGAAGGAGAGAACATTCCGAGTAGCTTGGATCATGAGTGAGTTGCTCAGACCCTATTCTGTCTTACTGTTTTTGTCTGTTAAGTGGTAAACTCATGCACTGAAAAGTTTTAATTTTGGAGTTTTCATCCATCATTTTTTAAATGTCTTTTCAGCCTTGACGCTGAATCCTGGGAGGAAAAGATAACCTGGAAGATGAAGGTCCATTTTGCAAGACTGTTCTCTTCCAGTCTTGAATTATATTAAATTTGTTAGCGTATGTACTGCACATGTCATGTGCTGGAGAGCTTTGGAAGCTAAAGCCCGTTTGTGCCAAAAATCCTTTAGATGACTATTAAATGTGTATCTTCCTCCATTTTTTCGAGGAGATATGTGTTATGTTTTGGGCCGTTTTTATTCCTGTTGAAATTTTAGTGTCTGGCTGAGGGCTTCTCAGCACTCTTCCCTCAGAAGTCTCACATAAAAAAATAAAACAAAAACCAAAACTAAACCTGATTTGGGCCACTAATTGAGTCATTGTTCCTTAATTCTGCAGGGATTATTTGTATGTTCCGTTGTTTTCTTGTGCTGGAATCTAAAGGTGGTAACAGAACTATGTAACACAGGGTTGAGAAAAACATTTTAGTCTGGTAATTATTTTTTTCTTATATATCCATAAAACTGCTAGGACAGATAAATCTGGAATGGATATGTAATATCACTTTAAATGTTAATGAGTTCATTAAAATTATATTAAAATGTGTGACATGTGAGTTTCAAAATTATTTCCTTCTATATCTTAGTATAAATGTTTAATATTTCAAGTTAATGTGTTTAATTTCCTTAATTATATGCATGGGTACGTACCAAATCAGCTGCTGTCGTCTTTTAAGAAGAAATCAGAAATGACGTTAAGATAAAAGGTGGTTTTTTTTCCATAAGATCAAGTCTGGGGTATCCACCCCTGAACAAAACATTGAACCTAGAGATTTTCAAAGAGAAGTTAATTTGCTTGAAAAAATAGCTTTCCTGTAGTTTAAAACATTGCTGATAATACGCTCCAGTGCTTTATAATAATAACTTTCTTTCCTAATAACTATAGAACACACAATATGTATCCCTGCTTTCCCAAGGCACTAAACTAGAGCTCTGAGTTAGTGGATTAACATAACCAGCTGGTGTATAGGTCATGAATTTTGTGATTTATTTTACCTACTGTTAAAATTTAATTCTAAATCTGCCTCTAAGAGAAATGTAAGTCATTAGGGAACTCAGGACAAGTTAATACCCAGGCAGTAATGAGCAAGCAGCAAGAATGCAAGGGACTTAATTTACTACTTCAATTCCTTTATATTTTTTGTTTAGCAGCAGGTTATCGCTGTGTAAGCTTATCTATAACTACTTCATGATTGTGTTTAAACTGTTTAGATTAAGTAATACAAGTGATTAGAGCACCTAATTAGTGTAATGTCTTATGTTCTGTTGAATTCTTCCCTCGTGTTAATGGATTCCTATAAATCTTCCTTTTTTTTTTTTTTTCCTTCTTTTTTTAAAGCATTCTCTTCTGGTTTGGAGATCTAAACTTCCGGATAGCAGATCACGGCATACATTTTGTTCGAGAATCAATAAATAACAAGCGTTACAATCTGCTGTGGGAAAAGGACCAGGTATGTTGTCTTAATATGTCTGGGGGTTTTGTTTAGTTTTGTTCTGTTTTTAATGCATACAAACACAGCACAGTAGTTCACATTACTTCTTGAGTTTGTAATTTCTGTCAAAGAACACAAATTAAGAGTAGTCATGAGGTGGAACAGATCTAGCTGTTCACTCTCTCACTTCACAGTCATAAGCCCCAATTAATTGCAAACTTTTTCTGCTTTTGCTTAGTTTCTTACTCATTTAGAATGCTTATGTTCGACTGAAGCTTTCTTTGAACTTTGTGGCTAGTGAATTGTTCCTCACCTTAATTTCTACTCCTTTATTCTTCTCCCAAGAACTATTTTTAAGAGAAGCTTATTCTGGAATTTGTTTTAAGTAGAACTACTACAAAACTTTTAAGCAGATTGTGTTAAGATTTCTGGTAGTAACAAAGAAGCACTGCTGAATTTACTTTTCCAGTTATGTTGCACTGACTGAGATGTTGAATTCTTCGAAGATGCTTTCTCATCTCCTTTCCCAAGTGCACTTTAAGCTCTGATTTTTAAATATAACCTTCAAAAGTTACTTTTTATTTCTGCAGTTAAATATGGCAAAAAAGAAGGAAGCATTTCTTCAGGATTTCATAGAGGGTCCTCTACAGTTTAAACCGACCTACAAATTTGACCTTTATTCGGATGTGTATGATACAAGGTAAAAGCATAAGATGAGTTTAAGCATGGAATAGTAGAGTGAATGTGGTGCTTGACTAAATATCACTTTAGTAAGCAAACCTGAATTTCCTGAATGTACTGGTTAACCGGGGCTATTGAGCTTGTTCAGTGGTCAAATCAGAATAAATGAGTATTTCTGGCTGAAGAAGCCTGGGTCTGCTGAGTGCATGAGGGAAGTAGTGAAACAACCCAGCTTTCTTTTTGGAAAGACTACATTAACAGAATAAAGTAGCACTTTTTTAAGCTACTTCTTTTTTGTTCGTTAATACTAAAAGTGCCCATTGGTTGTCAGAAATCAGCAAAAGGAAGAGAGTAATTGTCTGCAATTTTTGTTTCCCTTCACTGTTTAAGCATTTCATTTGATACTGCTGGTATTTGGAAATAAATGTATATGTGTCTATAAATTATTTGAAGTTGAAAATGGAGTAGCTTAAGTTTCCAAAGTTTTTCTCTGATGGTATACTTTGTTGTTAAGTATTAGTCTTATGTTTCAACAGAAGGATAAGTTCCTGTCCAAACAAAGGTTTTGTATTGATCTTTTTCTTTACTTCCAGAGAGCAGAAGTCCCTGTTTTGGTTTAAGTAAGAAGAGAACTTTCTGGATTTCATAGATTTGTAAATATTTCAGAATCAAAACAGTGCTCCTTCCTGAGCTTTTGATTTGATTTTTGTGAAATATTTGAAAATCAGATAACAGCTGATTTTCTTCAGGGATTTTTCTGAACCTGTCTGAAAGCTGCAGTGTTGTCTACTCTGCTGTAGCACGTAATATTGGAAGTTTGTTCATTTGGATCCAAAGACGTTTTGCTCACCTAACTGAGTGTGAAGTGATACAGTGGAACCAGCAGTAAATCCAATTAACAAAAACATTCTAGGAATTATTCATAGCCTAATAGTCTGTATTGACTCATTTAAAGAACAAAAAGTATGCTTACACTTACTGTGTGCATTCTACTGCTGTTAAAGCTAGCAGAGATATTTTGGTCAGATGAGAGGTGATCAGTAGACAAGGCAAGTACCCTTGATAAGTGTGCTTTGTATGAAGCACACAGTATTTGGTTATCTTTAATACTTTTTCAACGTGGATTTTGAGGTTTTGTTTCCCATCTCATGTGCCTTTTTCTGTAAAACAGTGAGTGTATTAACTTAAGCTGTTCTTTTGGTATTTTCTTGCACAGCAGAGCAGACATATGGCAGCTCATAAAGATTTCTGTCGGTTTATGTAATTAGTGGAGTAAGTGGGATTATGGCCCTTTAGTCGTTTAAAATCTTTCCACCTTACTGAAGGTGAGTCAGCCTTACATATGGGACGGGGTAAAACAAAAGTATGTTGAATATTGAACTAAATGGCATTTCCAGTTTATGATGATTTTGATATTCAAAGTTACTAAACTGACAGTTCTCCTTACACATCCTGCTCATTAACTTCTATAATTCAATCCAGTCCATTCTAATTCCTCTTTCATAGGGTATGATCTTTTCTCCATTTCAATTTGAAGTGATACATCCATACAGAGAGTTGCTGTTAAGTCTTCTTCCCACTACAGAGAGAACCACGAAAGGCTCATGTCTTCTGTTGTTGTTGATATGGTATAAAAGGAAACTCTGAATTACGATTACAGATTTGATGTATAGCATGGTTTCAGGCACAACTTTCTTGATTATGGAATTTTTAAAGCCTGTTGTTATGAGACAGCAGTAGCTTGCAAACTTGAAACGCAGGCTAGTACAGTTTAGAGGAGCTTTAAATAAAGCATTGCTGTGTCACCTCTGATTAGTATAAGCTACCTAAGTTTGTCCGGTGTTTATTGGTAAAAGAAACTTGTTCTCAAATGTTTTGAAGAATTTCAAACATCATTCAGACTCTTCCTATATCTTCCTTAAGTTTATGCCCCTTTTCTCAGAATGACTATACATTTGAAGCTTGGGGCAGTTGCATTATCATCTCAATTTTCTTGCATGTTTTTATGGACTATTTTAGGAGAAAGTATCATCTCCTGTATGAAGCTGACTAACCCGTTGAAATGCCCTTCTCCCCTTCATTTTACTCCTCTTTCAGAAACGTATGAAACTTATCTGTGTTAAATGGAGTTGAGTTCAAATTAAGGAAACTTTGGCTGTAAAACATATTGAACAGAGCTGTAAAATGAAGCTTGGATGTGATTGCCTGCTTTTATTAATATGTATCTGACAGTCTTTCAACTTTGAGTAGATTTTGCACAGTATTCTTTGATTTTGGGAACCGTTTTTTTTCTCATTTCACGTTTATCTTACACTTCTGCAGTGAGAAGAAAAGAAAGCCAGCGTGGACTGATAGAATTCTTTGGAGAGTGAAAAATCTCTGCCAGCATGCATCAAAAGAAGGCCAATTCTCTGAAGAGGAGCAGACAATTTCTGTTACTTTGAATAACTATATCAGTCATATGAGCTATGGCATCAGCGATCATAAACCTGTTACAGCAACTTTTGGGCTTGAGGTGCTGTCCCAGTTATGTTGTTAAGAAAGTTTGTTTTACTCTGTGTTGCCTTACAGAAGCTAGTGCTAAACTTTGTAAGTCGTAATCTCTGTTTCATTCTGGTTACAGTGAAGGCAGCAAATTGCTTTTAGGTTACTTCCATTCAGTTAAGAGTCCCACAGCAGGTGTGGCAGAGAATAACTTGAATAACTGAGTGACAGACATGAATGACTCTAAATTCTGTTCTTTTGTCTAGTTGAAGCCTCTGCTATTAGATCCTTTGGTCAGGCTGAATCCTGAGGGTGAGTGGAGTGCGGAACACGATGTTCTCATCAGCTATTCTGCAGTGCCTGAATTCCCAAGCAGTGCTTGGGACTGGATTGGACTCTTCAAGGTAATGTTACCACATCGTGGCTCTTCACTCTGGTGAAGATGGTGAATATGACTGAGGTAGTTGATAGTCTTCTGCCATAGGACGTTGTGATTCCTGCTAGTGCAAAACTCTCTGAAATAGTCACGTATCCTTGATTGCTGTTTCTGTATGCCGACAGTTTAGTTGCATAGCATGCCAGCTGTTTTGCACCCTTTAAATTATCTACTAAGATAATATGATGATTTATTTAACTAAAATGGTGCAGAAGCTGTGAAAATGAATTGTCCTCCCCTAATGCTTGCAGTTCAAAAGATTTACATAGCAAAGAAAGGACAAGAATAAAAGAAAGTCAGTGGAAGGATGAGAGAACAGAGCACTCGTACCCTCTCAGAAACAAGTTTTGTGCGTGCCCCCAAAATGTTTTGATCCTAAAAGTGGAGTGTTTTAATTACTTCAGTGATGTAGTAAACATCTCTCTCACAACCTAGAGTTTTCTGTGTAGTGTGTTTTTTGTTTCCTTCAGAAGGCTGATGGTTTGCATCTTTCTTTGCAGGTGGCTTTCAGGCATGTGAATGACTATGTTACTTATGCTTGGGTAGAAGATGATGAAATTTCTTCTAGCAAAGACAGTAAACAAGTAAGCCAGTTGTATGTATTTCTAACATAGTTTCCCGTAGAGTAGCATTCAAGATCTGTTTGTTCCATATCCCCTTCTTGCAGGTTCTTTATCTTCTTTCCCAGTCGAAGCTAATTGGGAGTGATACTATTGTTTAAAATCCCTCTTCGTAATTCTTACTAATTTTCAGGCAGTCTAGCATACCTGCTCAGGTGTGATCATGTTGCTTAAGGGAATTGATGAAAAAGCAATTTATTCCTGTAGTGACTTTTCATTGCATTAAAACTACTGGCTTTTTATATGTTCGTCTGTTTCTGCCACTCAAGTAACTGGCCGTGTTTTCATCTGATTTTCAAAGTTGCTCAGTGTATCCTAAATATTTATTGTATCATTTTTGTTACAATTGTAAATACCTAATGTTACTAAAACAGTTAGTTCCAGGTATCTAATACAGCTACAGGTTAGGGTTTCTTTGACTTTTCTTCGTTTTGGCGACATTGAGTGGTTTGGTCCCTCTTTAAAAATTGCTGTCTTGTTGCATAGCTTTATAGAGGTATTGCATAGAAGTATTTATCTGAACAAACAAATTAAAATTTAATTTTGGAGACACAGTGGGTGCAAGGATGGATGAGATTTTCCAGACAACAATGGAAAGCGGTTATCTCTTGTTAGAGATTTTGTAAGTTAGCATCAAGTTTATAACAAGAGCCCGAATTGTGTTGTGTCAATATTCTGAATGTCAACATTTCTCTGATATCATGCTTTCCTATCAGTAAGCTGGAAAATCTAAGCTCTATCAGTGTTGTTACTATGAGTGTCTATGAGTGAGGATACTATGGGCCGCAGTTTAGGAACTGTAGGATCTTTAGGATAGTACAAAACGAAGGTGGTGGGTTTGCTCTGCTATTTCATGTCACAGTTATTGCCACCAGGAGGCAGCTCATCTCCCTCCTTGCTGCTGTTGTGGCCTTGTCCCTTCCCTTACAAAAGCTCTGGGTTTCTTCTCGCTTCTTACTGAATCAAATCAGCTTGCTTACATGGTGAAGGATATTCAGTTCTCCTCCCTAACTTAGTTTTCAGGTGTTTTCTTGAGTTATTTCCATCCTTATCCTTTTTAGCTTACATTTTAAAACTTGCTTATAAATAGTAAATACTGATTTTTATGGTGTCCTGAATGGCAGAGACTGCGTTTTTGAAAGTCTCTTTCTCTGTGGAAATTGCCCATTGCCTGTTTTTATTCTTGTTGACAGGTTTACATGAGTGCTGCAGAAATACCTGATATGGGAGGAGAATTTTTGCTTTGTTTTTATAGCAATAATTTGCAGTCAATAGTTGGTATCAGCCAGCCTTTTCAGGTAATATATTTGGAAGCTTT